CCCCCCCCGCCGACCTGAAATGCGATATTCCATCTCGTTGGATATTATCATAATCGAAAACAACGCGCGATCTAGCTGCGCGCGAAAATTTGGCTGCGCCAATTTTTCCCTCGAGAAGTCTCGCCGCGCGATTAATTAATGGTGTCGCCGTAATTTTGCGTAAAACGAAAAGAGCTGTTCGTTAAAATGCAAAACTCATTAAAACAATATTCTCCAGACCGTTTAAAAAAACGTAACCGCCGTGAGGTAGTTAACGTGACCCCGCGCTTCTTGGCTATCGACTACCGTGTGCCGTGACCGGCTCTGAAGAAGGTCTACACAAGTTTCTTAATTGGGTGCAGAGGTCGGAAGTCGTAACGCGATTCCTGCGCCCGTCACGGCGAGGAAGAATATCGAGCGACACATGTGCGTTCTCGTTTTTTGCGTGTGCTTAAACGCGAGGCCCGGGAAAAGCGATCGCGTGTCACGCGTGAATGAGTCCGCCTGGTCATCAGTCAAGGTGGAATTGAATATTCTTACGCGAGATTACGGTAAAGCAAGGACCGACCACCGCACTGGCGTGACTCTTTCAAATTCGTCCTCGGTCACGCTGCGTACCAACCTGTAATTGAAAACTTACTTGCAACGGCAATTGCTCGCTCGTTACTTTTTTTTTCCGCCCGACTCTGTCGCCGCGAAATTATCCGACAGCGGGGAAGGGAAACACGTACACTCTCAGGCATCCCTCTGCTTGTATTCGCGAAGGATTTCCATCCCGAGCGCTCTAAACCGCGATCTAAGATGAACCAAAGGCTGTTTGGGGAAATTACGCGAATGCGACCGAGTCCCCGAAGCAAAGATTGGATCAAAGCGCGAAAAGGAAGATCGACGACGACACGCGGTGCACGACTCCCTTTGAGCCAAATCGCTCGGGACCCCAAATTATCGTCGCTAAGACCTTTAGAAACCGATAATCAAGTCGCGCGCAACGTCAACCGTACACATAAAAGCTTTATTGCTGAATAGCTGTGAGTGAAAAAAAAATCAGATTAAACTTATTCAAGAATAAATCAGAAATAAATTTAGTTTAACTTTTCTTCTCCAGTACCAAGGATAAACGTGATTTCCTCCTTTCGTTCAAAGTAATTCGAATTCAGCTGTCTCTCTGCATTTTGACTTTTAACTCCGAAACGATAATACTGTTCGCTCTAAGTTGAAAGGCATTGGGAATATTCATTTTTTTTTCTTCCGAAGTAACGCGAAGAAAATCGACGCACCGGGCCTCGGATCGCCGTCACTCCGATTCCCGAGGTCTTCGGTCGTTGAAACGGAGCCTAAGCGACCAGCATTTACCGCACGAATTAACGCACGATGCATTTTGCCGCGCATGCACGATTCACTTACGCCGTAAAGCGGATTATTTATGGCGCCATATCCTGCTAAGAGAAGAACCTGTCGCTAAGCGATAAGCTCCCGTATGACTCGCTTCTTTTATCTCTCTCTTATTTTCCCCGTGCCCAATGACGGATACGCTCTGTTTAATCGTCAGCGATTCGATTAGCGAGACCATCCGCGTGTTAGAAGAAAAAAGAAAAATTTATAAAAGAGAAGAATATGAAAGTGCTCATAAGGTTGCTCTCGGATACCAATCGCCGTGAAAACACAGTGAGAAAAGTGTGTGATATTTGGAATTATAATTGCATAGTAAAAAATTACAACCGAGATACTCATTTTTAGCAATAATAATTTGATATGCATAGTGCAGTTAATTAACATAAAAATTTTACTGTACATTATACTAATTTAAAATATAAATATAGTAAAATAATTTTATTATATAAAAATCTCGTTTTTTGGAGTTGGTTATACAAATTAATATTATGATCAATTATCATATTATACCGGCCATAGCAGTGTTGAATTAGCTCTAATTTGCGTAGATAAAATATCTATAAAAATATGATTGGCGCCAAAAAGTAAATATAGTGTAATGTAAATTATAGCGAGTGATAGTTACTGCGATCACATTTCTTCTCTCAATGTAATTCTTGATCAGTACGATATTATATTATAAACGGCGCGTACGGACTGTAAGGTGGATCTGTATATAATTAGCTTTCACCGCGAGACGTCCATTATCCTCGTCGAGCCAAATTATTAAACATGTGCGTAATTATTAAGATCTCTCTTAATGAGAAGAGAGAGAGAGAAAGTATACGTCGTCGAGATAAATTCTTAACGCGTTTTTGTGTCTCGCATTCACACATTCGTACGTGTAATAGTCGAGTCGAATTTTTAAAAGGACTTATTTGTTATACGTGTAAACCGTTATAAATTTTCAAATCGTAACGGGATTTGGAAAATAATCGATTATAAGGATTTCGACGGTATAAAGCCTCGGCAAGAGCCGTTCCACCTCTGCGCTACCGCTGACGAGTTTATTCGCGGTTGGTCGGATTCCACCCTATCTTCTCTTCGTGTTCCCAGAGGAACGCTTGCGTCAATATCCAGTGTCAGAGAACGATGGAGAAGAACGTTCGCGCTTTTCCGCCGAGGAGCGGGAAAGAGAGAGAGAGAGAGAGATAAACTCGGGAGAGACGAGTGGAAAATAAAAGATTGCGTCCGGCTTTCGATTTCTTTTGCGAAAAAGCAAACCACTCATACCATTACCGCTCCACCGTTACACATTCGATGGCGAATCGTGCAGGCGCGGGGCGCAATAAATAAAACTTTTGATCTCAACGATCTCGCGCGAGAGCCCTCACTCGCGTTAATAATGTAATATCCTTAACGACATAAGCGATATAACAACTTCCAATGTGGATTATAAAAATATTCAATCTTTGTCGTTACGAACTAGTTAACCTATGTTGATATGTAAACTATCGATATGTAAAATTGATATGTAAAGTCACGGACCAATGTGATCCGCATGCCGCGTGAATCCACGAAGCGACCGCCTTCGTCTCGCGGATCCGCGTATCTATTTTATTTTGGCCGGCGTTACTGTAACTCTTGTGTTTACGTGTATGTATGTCTGTATGTATATGTTTGTATGCGTGTATACACGGCGTGTGCGTGTCTTCGTGTACGCATACGCGCACGCTTTGATAATTCAATAACAAGACGCTGATCTCGCGTGCATCCGTTAATAATTACGATGTCGCATCAACGATCGCTTGCAAAACAAGCGAGTCAATAATGAATAAATTACTTATCTTTGTCGGCGTCCCCGAAGAAGACGAGCATCGAAGCGGTGTAATATTTCGAAGAATCTTCATCGACGACGACGACCTCTCTCTCTCTTCGGTTAACATGCTTTTCTCTTCCGCGATGACGGGAGCTGTTTGATTTTAGTCGAATAATCATATTCATCGCTGGATGCACGCGCGAGCGGCGCCGATAACGAACATATCGTCAGGACTTTCCACGATGGTTATTCCTCCGGCCAGCCGAGGTCCTCGCCGACGAGTTCGTAGAAGCGTTGATTGTGCTCGTTGAAGAACTTCCTCAGCTTCGTCACGACCATCGGACTGACGCGCGGGTGACGCCTGCCTTTGCTCTCCTTCAGACACTTCTCCGAGGTGTCATTCCGCAGGCAGTAGAAGCCCTTGGTGTGGTTGAAGTAGAAGTTGTGCCGGCCGATGCGCGGCTCCAGCCCGAGAAAGTTCTCGATGCGGCGCAGCTGCGGCACCGGGTCCTCGATCAATTGATCGCCGTTCACGATGAGGATCTGCTCCCGCGGGAACACTTCCAGCCAGCGGTGCATATAGGTATGATAAAGGGAGATGGCGACCGGTCTGTAGAACTCGTTGATAGTGCCGTCTGGCCGCATGACAAGCTCCTCGAAGGAGCGCGACGCTTGTTGCTGCTGTTGCTGCTGCTGCTGCTGCTGTTGTTGCTGCTGCTGCTGCTGCTGCTGCGGGTGCCATTGGTCAGCGTGGACGCGGTGGCGGCGTGCGTGCGCAGCTGCGTATAATCCGATATCGCCCGGGTAACCGGTTCCCGCACGATCAGCAGCAACTTCACGCTTCCGTTCATCGCGCGAATCCTCTCGGGCACCTCGGGAGTCACGAAGTAACTGGGGCTCTTCTCGATCGTGATCTGATTCTTGAAGGAGTACGGCATCTTGCGACGGTACCACTCGAGACCCTTGCCGTAGTTGTCGTCACGGTCGAAGAAGTGCACCTCGCCGGCGGCCTTCTGTATCTGTGGATGCAGGAAGAGCATCTCCAGCAGCGCCCGCGTGCCGCATTTGCGTACGCCGATTATGATGGCCTGCGGGAGATGGCGATTCGTGCGCGGAAAGTGAACCTTGGAGTTGGAGAACAGAAGGGGCGGCGTCGCGCGTACCTGTACACCGTAAATCACGAAATATACGTGGTGCACCCTCGTCCTCGGAGACATCGGCGGCACGCATTTTTTTCTCCATTTAAGAGCAGCTACAAGACGTGATACGTACCTGAGAGACTAGCTCGACCGTGCGCCCCTCGACGGCGGACACCGCGTGGAGGCTGTAAACGGCGCTGTCGTAAAGTATGTGAAAGGTGAGGAAGAGGGACAGTAGAGCGACCGACAGAAATGCGACGGCCATTTTCGGTCGGGATATGCCGACCACCAAAATGCAATCCGACGCGTCACCCTCGGCCGGCCTCATGGCAGAGCGGGGCATCCACCTGCCACAAATATCGAAAAACGTCCTCTGCATCAGGGATATGTTGTGAAATTAATTGATGCAATAATATTCTGACATTCGATAATGTAATGTAGCGCCGATGTAACACTGCTGCAAATATCGGTGTCATCGAAAAGTCACAAAGTGTGTACTGGTATTATAAGAATTACAAGAATTTTTCGATTATTCTGCCATTTGGCGTGCGATAATTAAAGATTATCAGCATTGCGGTTTTCTAAGAATAAATCTATATTCTTACATACCAGTGCGCACATGCTCGCGATACCGATATAGAACTGCCAGCGAAATTATTAAATTGATGCAAAAAAAAGTCGAGAAAAATTGAAAACAGAATTTCAATCTAAATTTGATTAATCAGAAAAGCTTTTCGATCTGAAAACAAAAGTAATTTTATACATAATTTATAAAGTTCCGAGCTCTTAAAATAGAAATCAATAATTTAAAATAAATCTTCGCGGGAAAGCGTCAAGTTTTAGCATTAACTTAATATTTCGATATTCAACGTTTAATCTCTTCTGATCCTAAATCTATCCTCGGAATTCCCAAAGGGCAATCGTGTTTTTTTTCTCGTTTCTTCTCTTTCTTGGCACGCAACAGCGCCGTTAGTTACGGACGACGCCTCTAATTTATTCTTTCCTCGCCAAGGCGCGGTAGGAACGATTAAGTCTCGCCGTGATCGCCGATTATTACAGTGCACCGTGCACACGGATGGATACACGTACACCCGGGCTTTAATGGCCGTTACAACTTCAGTCCGAGATCGATTTATTGGAAACAATCAGGGAATGTGTAGGATTAATAGATTTTAGCGGCACGCGCGCGGGTAGCTTATTTTCCGGTTGATGTTCTAACCAAAGGAGTCGAAACAATTTCGAGCCAGCCGCAGTGATTCGTGGCCGATAATGATGCGGCTGATTGGCATTTACACGAAACGCTATGGTCGCCGACGTAAATTTATCGCGGCGCCCGCTCGCGTGACAGACGAACAAAGCGGCTGTCAATGCCGCGCTCGCTAATTTCGCCCACCATTGAATGCGGGCTCAAAAGTATCGATCGGTGGATTAACCGACGTTCCACGGAAACGTTAGGATTTCGCGGCTCTGCCCGATCCAAACGATAATAAATCATCGACCCGCATGTTGCCGCGAGAGGGAAAAATAATGGGCATTTATTAAGACGATTAAGCTTGAAATATCTCGTAAGATATACTCTTCATTAGATATTTATGCGATTCTTTATATACATTGCTGACAACACGAGTCAGCAAAAAATAACTTTTTTAGTTGGCAGTAATTATTTTTTGTAATTTTTTTATGGCGATTCTGATCTCTAAAATGTCACGCGTCATAATTTTGAGAAATTTCAGATTAAAGTTGTAAAAAAAAAAACAGCTATTTTTATGTAATGCACGATGTTGTACGGCACGACGTTGGAACTACAGAAAGTAATTATCCTTTTTCTCAGTCCTTTTTTTGTCGAGATGACGATATAACTTATCGTACTTTGCCAGCTTTTTTCACGATTATTGTCACCGAAGATGCCTCGGTAAATAATAAAATTGAAAATAGATGTTCTCGCGCTTAACTTGCGCTAAATTGCGTTCGTTAACGCCCGCTTCGCCCGGTGGAGACGTTTATAACATTAGCGCAACAGGCACGTAAAATGACATATCCTCGCGTGTATAAAGGTCTCACGGCGAAAGTTGTTCGCGGCGCGGATGAGAGGTCCGGAACGAATCGGAATTCGCAAGTGACGAAACTCGCAGTCGGGAGCTCTTAAACTCGGAATAGCTGATGAACTCGCGAAACGAGACATGGGAGAACGACGGTGGTAGGCGGGCGAGCGGAGGATCGATCCGCTATAAATGATGCAGAAAGGTCGGTACCCCTGAGACAGAGTGCAATGTAAATTTGATGCGGCTGCATTTTGTATATTCCGACGTAATGGCTTCTCTAACGTTTACAGCCGGTACACTTAGCCGTGTTACATCATCGGTTTCGTGTGTCTCATCGATTCGCCGGAGAGTGATCAAGCAGACGTGCTATATCTCTCCACTTGTCGTTCGGTCTAAATTGCAATTCGAGTCGTAATTAGCGAATTTAATTGCTAGCGAAGTTGCTCTCCAATTTTTTATCCCTTTCATTCTTCACTCAAAAATTCTTGAAAAATTGGAGAAGCAGGGGAAAAAAAGCGTACGTTCAGCAAAAAGTGGATTAGATTTAATATATATGCTCATGAATTTCTATGCCAATTCTGATTTAAATATTAAATAGTTTATTTAAATCCAAATTAAATCAATTATTTAATTATATAATTTTTATAAATTTATTTGTATGCATTGTTAAAGACTTGATAAAATCAAGTATAAAATGGAATCTGCGTATAATGCATAAAATCAGAATGATAATAAAATGTCACTGAATCTTTATGAATAATTGACCTTTTTATGTACTTCAGAGAACATAACGGAATATAAATAATATAAAATATCAATCTCATTTGTATGTTGTTACGTTTCCAAGTATCGTGTAATCGTGAAAGGTTCGAGCTGATTTCACATAAAGTTTCGGTTACATTGTGATGCCGTTACATTTCGAGATAATTATACTGCGCGCAATTGCAACAGGGAAAGTTTCGATTACATTCAGATGCTGTTATGTTTTCCAGATAAATAAAAGCGCGCTGCAGAGATTTTATCGATACAATACAATTTAATTCCAGAGTATATTTAATTCTATATCTAAACTGCAAGTATTTACAGGGATATTTCCCTCGACCTTTTTTCTTTCCGTAAGTATGATACTTGACGCTACGAAGAACTCGAAGCGCGCGTATCCAAATGCTTCAATGTTATACCTTTAATGAGACTTGGCTTTCATTGCAGAGAATACGCGGAACAACATTTGTGTTATAGTCGACTCCCCGTTGCATAACGGCAGCCATTTGACGCGCAAGTTTTCTGGTTAAAATTTGCTTTGTGCCGCGGCGCGGCGCGGCGCGGCAGGCCGAGGTGTTTCCGTGGGAAATACGCCGCCCGTGTTATCCGGACAAATTGCAATTTCCAGAGTTGCCTTCCGCGTCGTTGCGTTCCTACTGGCGCTCACGTCTATCGGAATGACCCGTTATTTGCTCATTATCACGATAGCGCATCCA